GGGTAAGCGGCAGGAGATGGGCAGCAGCATCTTCCTGATAACATCAATTGTACAACAAAAAAAACTGCAGTTGCCAACCCACTCATAAAGCGTAGCAACTATGGAAATACCCCCCATGAGAAATGACACAAGTAAACGGTCCCCAGTCCTACGGCAGCCTCGCTATTCCTGGCTAGGTGGCGACTATAGTAAAGGCGGGATAGGGGATGCTAAGAATCTCCGCTGGATGGTTGGTTGCCACCTAAGACGATTCAACTTGGCAACAAACAACGGAAGCACCCTGGGATATAGGATCAGGTAGGTCAGATAGGTGATTCTCGAATCCGGCAACTTGTTATATCACCGGGAGGGTGACCATCTGTCCCAAGGAGGTGTTGGATTTATTGTCCACAAGTCTCTAGTTAACAGCGTTGTAAAGATTGGTATTGTGTAGACGACGGTTGCATACCTACCTCATATTCCGAATCAGCCAGCCGGGCCAGCAGCCGGCTGACTTCATGGAGAAAGAGGGACTGTTTATGATGAACTCTTTTTTCCAGAAGCGGCTCCACTGAAAGTGGACCTGGTCGAGCCCCGACGGTACGATAAAAAATGAGATTGACTTCATTATAACGACAAGACGGCAACTGTTCAGTGATGTCTCAGTGATCGCAAGGGTGAAAACTGGCAGCGATCACCGAATGTTAAAGGCACACTGAACCTAAACGTTATGTTCGAGAGGTCTCGTCTAAAGAAGACAACGCTCCGTCCCCCTCGTGCTATAATCCAAAGTCCCGAAACCTTTCAGCTCGAGTCACAAAACCGTTTTCAGTGCCTAAAAGACTGCAATGTAGTGGACGATATGAATGATAAGCTAGTGAAAACTGTCCACGTGATCGGAGCTAAGTTTTGCAAGACTCGCTGCAGAAGAACACAAAAACTCCGACACACTTTTAATCTCATGGCTTTTAGGCGGAAAATTAAGCTGCAGTCTTCAACAGATTTGACAGCATACAGGCAACTGAACAGACAGATCTCCAAATGCATGCGCTAGGACTTACGCAAATTTAATACTGCTCGTATTGAAGAAGCGAATGAGTGTGGCAGCATCGTTTCTGGAACACCTGAGATTTTGAGTGAGATTGGGAGGTTCTATTAGCAGCTGAACACATTATCATTGGAGCCACACGCAAGTGTGAATAACGATCCAAGAGCAAGTCTATTCCGACACTATGATATCCCGGAAGTCAGTCTGAGCAAGAAAAGAAGGCTCTCTATCTTGTTAAAAACGGCAAGGCCTCAGGTGAAGATGGAATTACAGCCTTTGATGATTGATTTAGAGTTTTTAAAAGCGGGCGGAAAACCGGTACTTAAAGTCCTTCAGAATCTCTTCAATTACGTTCTTTACGGTGGCACTACTCCGGAGGCTTGGTGCAGAAGTGCAGTGGTCTTATTTTTCAAGAAAAGCGATTACGCTCTCTTGAAGAACTACAGATATATTTCCGTTATGAGCCGCGTCTAAGTGCTGTTTTCGAGTCATTACGAATCATATTCAACTGCAAAGAGGTGTAAGACAGGTTGACGTTATATCACCTATACACTTCACCGCTGCATTGGAAGATCTTTTCAAGCTACTGAATTGGAAAGGTATTATCATCAATGGTGAGTACATTACTCACCTTCGATATGGTCCTTATGGTGGAATCGCTGGAGGATCTAAGCAATATGCTCAATGACCTCAATAGTGTATCCCAACGTATAGGTTTTAAGATGAACATGGACAAAACAAAGATCATGTGTAATGTCCATGTCACGCCTATACTGGTAATTGTTGGGAGCACTAAGCTCGAAGTTGTTGATGAGTACGTTTACATGGGACAAATAGTCCGACTAGGTAAGTCTAACTTCGATCGAGAGGTCAATCGACGGATTCAACTCGACTGGGCAGCGTTCGGGAAGGTATACCTCAAAACCTAAAACCTAGATTGTACAACCAGTGCGTGTTGCCAGTGATGACTTACGGATCTGAGACATGGTCCTATAACTGCTGGCCGTATGAGGACAATCATGGTCACTCAGCGAGCTATGGAGAGGGCTTTGCTCGGGGTTTCTCTGCATGATAAACTTAGAAATGAGAATATCCGCAGTAGAACTATGGTAATCGACATAGCCCAACGTATTAGTAAGCAGAAGTGGCAATGGGCCGGCCATATGACCCGAAGAACCGATAACTGATGGGGAAAAAAGGTTCTCGAGTGGCAGTCTCGTACCGGTAGGCGTAGTGTAGGCCCACTAGACGGAATGATGACTTGGTAAAACATGCAGGAAGTCGATGGATGCAGGTGGCTCAGAACCGTGCTTTGTGGCAAACCTTGGGGGAGGCCTATGCAGCAGCAGTGGACTTATGAAGGGATGTAATGATGATAATGATGAAGCTAAAAATGTCATTCCTTTGATCCTTTTCTTCTCGTTGGATAGCCATGCAGGGGAAACATTCAGGGCGATGTTTTTCTTTCTCCGGGTGTTTTTCTATTTTAGGTCGTGGAGCAGAAGGAGACCTTCGTCGTTCCAAATCCACAAAAATATCTGGGGAATGATGGTGCTTATTTTAACACATGATGACTATATATACTCGAAAAATTACGTTCTTTCGGCCTCACTCTAAAAAAGTGTAAAGAAATGCAAATTTGTATATTATCGTTATGACATGCTTAATTAGTTTGTACTTATTTTTTATCTATCTTTATGACAATCTAATTGTAAAGTTTTAACAAAGCACACTTGTGATTTAGTTGACAATAAAAATATTAATGGCGGCAAAATGGCAAAACAATCTACCTACTTTGTTTAGCTGCCGAGGGGCCGAGGCATGAATATCCCAAAATTTTCGATCAAGTGCCTACTCTCTTACCAATGCGGCCGACAGGCCGACACGTTGCGCGACGCCTCGGCGCGAGCGGCGGCGTACAATTTATTTGTTTATACCTTTATTTTATAATTTAGATACTTGAAAAAATAATGGTACAGTTACTTTAAGGTATAGCAATTTAAAGGTACCTTTATTTTAAGGTATCGAAATTTAAAGGTATGACGTCATACCGCTTACCGTCTGTACCATAATTTTTTCGGTTATTCAATCCCTGGTTTGTAATGACCTCCAAAAAATATCATTCATGAGTTGCAATGAGCGTTTACTGTGCTTTTAACTGTAGGTCTGAGTGACTCGATACTGTTTTATTTATTCTCATTTTAATTATTTAATTCAATGATAAAATAACTTACACTAAATATTATATTTAAATTGATTTACCGCCCTATTATATTATTAGTTGTAATATACTAAACTGACTTTTTCCTTTAGTTGAAGTTTTCCGAATAAACCATATATTATGTTTGTTATTACAAATAACTGTGTAGTTATTTGTAATAATATACAATATAACATTAGTAGGGCTTTAGGTACCATGGCATTTATGCTGCTAGTACAGGCTTGACGATCTGCCATTGTTAAATTAATTAGCAGGCAACTAATTACAAGTATGTTACTTTGAAAGAGGTAACAAGTCAAAGAGGTTAATGAGCTGAGAGTGGTATTTTAAAAAAATTATTCAATAACTACTATCAAATAAAAAAATTATCTATTTCATCATAATACATTTCTGAAATGAATTCTTGTGGAATGACTATGCATCCGCAAGTATTGTTGGGTTTAAAGTGAGTGCTCAAGATCGGAACGGCCGCGGCTGAGCATCTTAAAGTTCTATAATGTTATTAGTACCTAACCCTTAAACCTCATAAATAACTAGAGTAGGGATAACAGCTTATCAGTTACTGCTGATAATACGCTTAATTAAAAAGAGACTATTGGACAAATGAGTTACACCGAAGCGTAATGGTGAAGAAATACCATTCTCCACAATTTAAGTATTGTGCCATAACAATTGATCAAAAACTAAAGTGGAACTCTAGCCTTGGCAACTTATGCCATAATTCTGGGAACAACTTGGGCTTGCATTCCAGTATGATTCTATGGCTGTACAGGAGCATAGTGAGGCCGATTATTACCTACGCCTACATTGTTTCATGTAATAATCAAACAAAGTGATGACTGAGGAAAGGCTCTATAGTCTACAAATTACTGCCTGTTCAGTGGCAACTGTAGCTATGCGATCATTGTCTAGAGTGGCTCTTAATGCACTTCTGTGCCTAATGCCCCTTGATCTTTACGTAGACTGGGAGGCAAGAGCTATTTTGTGAAATCACAAAAAGCCTGGCCCGAATGACCTTAGAAACTCTTTAACAAAATAAATCAGTTAAGATCTGGTCTGATACTCCTGATAGCTTTTCAAGCTTGGAGCATTATACCAGATATGATACCGCTTATGATCATAAATGCCCTTCAGAATTGATTAAATAAGAATAAACTGTGAATTCTGGCAAGAGCCCTAACTGGACACTGTTTAAAAAAAGCACATATCATCCATCCTTCCTGGGACTAAGCAACTCAAGGATTAGCTGATTCTGTTACTTGATGGAAGAAACCCCTCTGGTCATCCTAACTGATAGTTTTTTGTGACCCTTCTACTCGAAACAAGGCGTCCTCCACCACCCTGGTCCTCAGGGGTGACAACGCATCTGCATTTTGATTCTTAATGGAGGATGAATGAAGATGACTATGGGCAACAGCATCCACTTACCATCAGGTGGACTGTGTGCTTGATTGTCACCCTTATTCTATAAAAAAAAGTACCACTCATCTGGGAAACTATGTATTTAGCCCACAGGAAGTAAAATTGCTCACAACTAAGCAATTTTCAATTCTTTGAAGACATAGGGCTTAACATTGGATTGTAGCAATAGCAGGGATCACAATAAATCTTACAGGTTGCAATGCCACTGGTCTTCCTAGACCTGCATAGCTACCTGCACTAAAAATAAATTATGGGTAATTGTTATTAATAGGCATTATTTTAATGCTTCTGAATAGTCACTGATTTTTTAAATAATTTTTGACTCCTCAGAAGAAAAGCAGTTATCAGAACTAGACCTGGATGGTCTGGATGAGTTAGAAGACGAAGAAGATGAGGCTGTACTCCAAGAATACCGAAGGCGGCGTATTGCTGAAATTAAGAGGCTTGCAGAAAAGCCCCGTTTTGGGGAAGTAAAAGAAGTTTCAGGACAAGAGTATGTTCAAGAAGTGAACAAGGCTGGTGAAGGCATCTGGGTGGTCATTCATTTGTATAAACAAGGGTAAGTTGATAATGTTGGTTTTAAAAATTTAAAGAGGCTTTAATAAATACTCTAAAGTTAGATGTTTAAAATCTTTAAGCTACATATTTTTTTGAACAACTAGAATATGGTATAAATACTTAACTCAAGAAGAGGAGCTGGTCCTATTGTTTCTGTATTATGTAATATTCTGTATTTAATTAAAATATTCTGATTTATTCTAATTTGTTTACAGAATTCAAGAATGTGCTCTCCTTAACCAGCATATGCGGCAATTGGCTGCAAAGTTTCCATACACGAAATTCCTGAAAGCTGTGGCTCAAACATGCATCCCTAACTATCCAGAGCGAAACTTGCCTAGTGTGTTTGTTTATTACGAAGGTGAAATGAAGAAGCAGTTTGTGGGTCCACTAGAATTAAGAGGAACAGCATTAACTTGCGATGGTATGTAGTCTAAAGTATTATTGCATCAGTAGATGCAGGTGGCTTCAGAACTGAGCTTTGCAGGCAGTTCTCTGTACTAGTAATTAAATGCTTTAATATAACAAATTTTCCAAATTTATTGTTATAATCATGTGCAAGTGTCCCAATTCGTCTATTTAAAAATTGTTCACAGAATTGGAGTACATCCTTGGCCAAGTTGGTGCAGTAGATACGAAAATTAAGGAAGATCCTAAACCAAAGATCAAAGACAAGTTGTTAATGGACCTGGGTTGCAATGATTGGTGATGTTGGTCTGGCATACAATTTGGTGCACTTGGAAGTACTCACTTGGTGCAATTGACAATATTATAAGCCTTCTGGTGTGTGGGTGCTTTATGCTTGTTGTATTTATTTATTTTAGTTGTAACAAATATTTAAAAGCAAGAATCAGTTATCAGAGACATTTCTCAGTTATTTATTCCCTTAGTGCAAATAATTACTCAAACTATTTATTTTATTAAAAAGAATATCAGTTATTATGTAAAGGTTAAAAATGTTTGTCTATGAAAGTATTTTCACAAATCAGTAAACAATTTTGTAGTTATCATAAAATCGACTTCTATTTATAAAATTCTAAGTCACTAAAGCTCTTTTCATTATAAGATTAATAATTTAAATTTTTCATTTGTTGGATCAGTACCATGCCTTTGTGAAAATGTTTTATTACTACACTGTATGTATGGGGCATTTATGATAATAACAATATCAAATTATGTTTAGTTAGATTATGTTATGTACTGTTTATTAGTTTTAGTACGGAAATTAACATTTGACTGTTGATAAATATCTCCAGAAAAGGTGAACTGAAGGAAGTTTTAAAGAGAAAAGAGATTAATTAAAACATTTATTAACATGTTTATTTATCAACCTTTTTAATCCACGGTTCGATAGATCTTTTCAAGATTTATTATTGGAAGAGCCCATACCACACTAAATAGATGGATTTGGAAGTTGGTGTCGTAAGAGACGATGAAAGGAATCTGACACAGATGGGCAAGAGTATTTTCCTGATAATAACTGAAGATAATAAAAACTGCATTTGGCAACCCTGACAGAAAAATATGTCACATGACTTGCGATAAGTCAAAATTAAGAAAGTGAGAAAACTATGGCAACTGGCAAAGTTTTTTCTATGAGGCAATGTTCAGCTGTGGACTTTTGGTTGGATATAATGAATGAATGAATGAATGAAGATGAATGCATAACCTATACTCTCGTACTAATGATGCTGTGCTCCTCTGGTTCTGATGGTTTTTAGAATCTTGTTTGTTAGCAAGATGCAGCGCGGTACACCGAGGATGACCCTTACAACCATTAAAATGATCTTACGTGTTTCATTTTGAAAATGTATTTTAAAAATGTAAAACTTTGTGCAATAAAAATATTTTCTTTTATTGATTTATTTTTCATTTGAAATGCAACATTATTTTAAACATTATTATTAATATTTTAACAAGAAGTATTCGGTTTGCACCTTGTACCTTGACCGTATCCATACCTTGGCCAACTAATCCATACTTTTAATATAAATGCGAAATTTTGTTTGTTTGTTTGTTTGTCCTTCTTTTACGTCGCAACAGAGCGTCGGCATGGCATGATTTTTTGTATGGGGATAGTTCGGTGGCTGTAGAGTGACATGGTTACTTTTTTCCGCGGAAAAACATCTATTCCCGTGGGAAAATAGAATATGTTGCAAAAGTTTGTCCTTCTTTCACGTCGCAACAGAGTGTCGGCATGGCATGTATTTAGGTATGGGGATAGTTCGGTGGCTGTAGAGTGACATAGGCTACTTTTTTCCGCGGAAAAACCATCTCATTCCCGTGAGAAAATAGAATATGTTGCAAAAGTTTGTCCTTTCAGGTCGCAACAGAGCGTCGGCATGGCATGAATTTTGGTATGGGGATAGTTCGGTGGCTGTAGAGTGACATAGGCTACTTTTTTCCGCGGAAAAACATTTCATTCCCGTTCCCGTGGGAAATATTCTATTTTCCCACGGGAATGAGATGTGCAAAAGTAGCCTATGTCACTCTACAGCCTCATTCCCGTGGGAAAATAGAATATGTTGCAAAAGTTTGTCCTTTTTAGGGGAAAAACATATCATTGACGTGGGAAAATCGATTATGTTGCGAAATTAAATTCAGCTAGGTGGCGCCACCGTGATTCTACAAGACGGACGACGGTACGATGGACGAACACAGAAGGTCAGAATATCTGGATTATTATGTCTTTTTACCAAAATTAAGATAAAAAATGTATGGATCTGTATTTTTCCACGCAGGACCGGGAAGAGAGCGATAAAAAACATAAATTTCACAGAATAGGCAATAACCTCGCAGACGATATTAAGTAATCCGTTGATGCTCTGCCTACCCCGCAAGGGTTACAGGCGTGATTATACGTATGGGTCAGAAATACTATCACCACATGTCACGCTTTCACCCTTAACTATTACTTAACTGTGGTAGAAACAGTTCTTATATGTGGTTATGAATGAATCGGTATTACAATAAGAAAAATTGTGCAAAATTATAAGATAAATATTTTTTGAGAGTTCTTATTAACTAACGTATACATAGTTTAAATTGATTCCGCTAGATGTCGTTACTAGGTTTTTAAAACGCGGTAACGAAATGTTTCCTGACATGTACTTAACTCACGCCGTTGAGCGCGCGTTAACTTATAGTGCATACGGTACCTATACGCTTAAATTGTTTCTATTTCGTAGCTTATTCGACTACTTGCTTTCGATTTCGGTTGTTTGTTATTTGCTTTGTGATTTGGTTAAGGTTGAATGGATTTATATTGCCTTCATTTTCGGATTTGTGTATTTTCTTGGATCGATTTTGTTGATTTGGTTGGTATTCCTTTATACATATTTAGACTCTGGCTTTGATTTTGGATTTTGTTTATTTAGAATCGTGAATTGGTTTTCGTTGTTTTAGGTTGTTTAACAATATTTCAAAGGAATATTAATAGTATAGATAGTGTATACGGTACCTATACACTTACTTCTTTTTTCGTTGGTTTTATTTATATTGACTTTTGATTTCGGGTTTTCTGCGATTTGTTTTGTGATTTGGTTAAAGTTGATTCGATTTTTTGGCTATCGTTTTCGGATTCGTGTTGTGTCTTGAATTGGTTTTGTTGTTTTGATTTTAAAAAATATTTAAAAGGAATATTTATTCCTTTTAGATATATTGGATTTGCTTTTGAAAAAAATATTTAAAGTTTTTGACAAAGTATTAGGACAAATTGAATCTGGAAATGATGCACTTTTCTTTTTAGATGCCCCTGGAGGAACTTGGAAGACATTTTTTTAAATTTATTATTAGCGCATGTACGGAAAGATAAAAATATTGCTGTGGCCGTAGCTTCCTCCGGTATAGCCGCCACGCTGCTAAGCGAGGGCCGCACTGCACATTCTGTTTTAAAACTCCCTCTAAATCTAGCCCAGGAAGAATCGCCGATCTGCAACTTTAGCAAAAATAGTGCACGAGGTATAATGCTACGACAATGCAAATTTTTAGTGTGGGCCGAAAGTACAATGTCGCATAAAAAAGCTGTAGAAGCACTAAATCGAACGCTCCAGGATTTGCGCAGCAATATCTTAAAATAGTGTTCAGTTAGTTTTTCTTCCAAAATTCCCACAATCAATTAATCAGAATTCCCACAGATCTTCCCTTTCAATCCAAAATTTCCTATTTAGCTCAGTTTCTTTTCAATTCCAAATGCTGCACCTCTGACGGACCTATGCTCAGTTTCCTTTCAACTCAAAAGCATATTGAAAAGCAAAGATGCAGCATCTCTGACGGATCTTTTATTTGGCTTAGTTTCCTTTCAATTCAGAAAACTGCATCTCTGACGAATCAATTTAGCTCAGTTTCTTTTCAAAAGTCTGCATCTCTGACGGATAAATGCTCAGTTTCCTTTAATTAAAAAAATATCCCATTTCCATTTGGAATAAACAGGCTATTTTCATGCTTTCCTATACGCTGCGTTTCAAAACATTTAAATAGGCTGACGAATCAATTTTGCTCAGTTTCCTTTTAATAGCTGCATCTGTGACAAATCTATAAAACTCAGTTTTCTTTCAATTTAAAAAGCAATGGATAGTTCATTTCCCAGTGACCATGCGGGCGAAGCCGCGCTAGTTTTAATTAATAAAAAAATTATATGTGAAGAACGTGGATCTCCACCGTGACCTCAATATGCGCACCATCTCTCCGTATCTTAGGGAGTTATCCTTAAGATACTTCGATTTGATTAAAGAGCACAAAAGTCCGTTGGTGGTGAAGGCGGGTTCGTATTCCCCAGAGAGGAACTCACCAGGAGACGTCCCAGGACCGTTATTCTAGATGCCAATGATGAGATCACCTCCATGAATAGATTGATCCCCCCACCCTCCACAGGAGATGGAACCTGTTTGTACACAACACGACACACAAACATTCGGACACTACTTTAGTACAGAACACTAGGGCACACCGCCCTCCACGGCGAACGCCAGGTCATAGATACACCCCGTACACGTGGTTTAACAACTGCGATACGGGGCGTTTTTAGTTTCGACCCGTTTCCCCACATTACGATAGTGTTTCTAGCCGAGGTTTGTACCTCCTTTAGAGTGTCATTGAGTCACATTGAGCCCCCCTATCTAGAGGAGACTCTCTCCAAAAGCAGGGGCTGGCGCGGAACTAGAATGTGAATGGAACTAGAATCGTGAATTGGTTTTCGTTGTTTTAGGTTGTTTAAAAATATTTCAAAGGAATATTAATAGTATAGATAGTGTACGGTACCTATACAGTTACTTCTTTTTTCGTTGGTTATATTTATATTGACTACTGCTTTAGATTTCGGTTTTCTGCGATTTGTTTTGTGATTTGGTTTAAGTTGATTCGATTATTTTTTGGCTATCGTTTTCGAATTCGTGTTGTGTCTTGAATTTGTTTGTTGTTTTGATTTTTAAAATATTTAAAAGGAATATTTATTCCTTTTAGATATTTTGGATTTGCTTTTAAAAAATATTTAAAAAGAAATTTAATTCCTTTTAGGTATTTTAACGTTTTTTATAAATAGGTTTTTTGTTACTTCATAATGCCTCGCAAACGTAAGTCCAGCCTTTCAAGAGTATCTTCTCAAAGACAAGCGAAAAGATTAGCTCGATTGCTAGAATCTTTAGAAGATGCTGAACTGAGAACAAGCTGAGCGTCAGGCTGCTTTTAGAGCATCTGAGACACCTTCTCAAC